TCTAGGATTTAGAAAAAAACATAATATTTTGAAATAAAATTTCCATTCATTGTTTGCAACAAAATGTAAAAAAAATGCCAAAGGCAAAGAAAATTTCCTAATAACAATAATATGATGATGAAAATCGTTTTGAGTGTTTTCTGGTAGTGCTGTGTCCTGGTAAGCTAGTTTATCGGGGATACGCAGAAAAGAACATGAGATGATTTTTTCTTTAAAAATCATGATTATCAAGAGAAAATTAAATGAATCTATTTTATTGATTAATCAATCAGCCCTAATAAAAAATGAATTTGAGGAATATGGAAGGAAAACAGTCTCCTCTGCCTTTTTTTGTACACCGAATTTTAAGCACTGAATTTTTTTTCACATTGAATTCAATACACTAAATTTATATCTGGTAAAAATTCAGCTGCAAAAAAATTCAGCTTAAAAAAATTCAACTGCAAATGTGTTGACCCTTTGGTGAACTCAAGCCAAAGCAATCAACACTCGGAGCAGTTGAGCAGCTTCTAGCCAATGAAATGAGCTCATTTGGTCACATGACACTTGGGCTTAGCTTTACTCCAGGCTGAATGAAGCTGATGAGGACTTTTTCTTGTTAAATAGACATGATTACAAAATATCAGGTAGCTACTAATCAACACATCAGAAGTATTTGCAGCAGAATTTTTTGCAGGCCAATTTTTTGCAGCTGAATTTTTTGCAGCTGTATTTTTTGCAGTAGAATTTTTGCAGCTTTTTTTTGCAGTTGAAGCTTTTGCAGTTGACTTTTTGCAGCTGCATTTTTTTGGAGCTGTATTTTTTGCAGTTGACTTTTTACAGCTGCATTTTGTGCAGCTGTATTTTCATTGCATAAAAATTCAGTGTAAGAATTTTAATGTGAAAAAAAAATCAGTTTAAAATTCGGTGTACAAAAAAAGGCAGATTTCAGTGAGACTGTTTTACTTCCACAGAGGAAGACCTTCAGTAGGCCTATCACTAAGACACCTAACCCCTCCAGACTTCTCCAGAACCATCCTCAGGTATTTCTCAGCTGATCCAGGTTGATCATGTGTCACTGTGTGGATGGAACTAACTGGGATTCCTGCTGATGAACCAAAACTGGAACCAGAACAAAGCAGGACTCAGACTCTAACCCTTCAGGTTCTGATCACCTCACCCAGAGAGACTTTAGGAACTTTGTTGTTCACAGGAAGGATGGTGACGTTCAGGTCATAAACAGGAAGTGTGCCGTGCAGAGGAACCGGTGGCGGTGGAGCATCTCCATGGCAACAGCTGTTAACCACCCCAGCCTCGCCATCAGAGATGATGAGGGTAACGGTGTCAAACACCGGCTGAGGCCCGATCTCTTCACCTGAACACAGAACGACTGCATGACTCTCTGCATCTCCAGCTCCACCTCAGAAAACCTACAGGCCCTGAACGCAGCACGGATTAACCTGAGTGGACGTAGTAGACGTGACCCTGCAGCAGATCCTGCTGGGAGAACTTATCTGTCATCATTCCGCCTCTCTGCAGCTCCCCTCTGCCAGGACTGCGGGCCAGCATGTAGGTCAGCCTGGAGTCCTCACTGTCCCGGTCCGTGGCTGACAGATAGTCCACCGTCACCTGAACCCGCCCGCCCTCCACACAGCTCAGCTGGTCCCGCAGACCCCCGCCCAGCTGAGGGGGCTCATCATTCATTGGCAGGACCTAAAGACAGGAGGAGGTTGGTGGTGAACCTGGACCTGCACTGGAAAAACTATCTAGAAATAAGTAACATTTCTTAAATTAAGTGTATTTACCCTTAATTTGAGTAAGTGAGATGGCTTGCCAATGAAATTAGTATTTTTACTCTTAAAATAAGATAATTAGATAAGATGCACTTGAAATAAGACAATGCCATTGTGTTTTCTTATTTTAAGTGTAAATTGTTTTGTTCCATTGACAAGATGTCTCTTTTATCTCCTGAATGCAAGAACAAATGCACTTATTTCAAGAAAAAATGACTTATTGATTTTGATTTATTCCAGCGTGCTGCTGCTCACAACAACAGGATCTTTGATCAAATGATTCAATCTCAGGATGTTTATTTCTGATAAAATTTTTTCCATTGATTTTTCAGATTTATTATTAAAAAAAAATTTTCGAGAGAGACTGATTTTTAGAAATTGCATTTTTTTTCAAATCCCAGTTTACAGATTTAATCCTCTCCACTTCTGGCAAGTCTGTACAGAACAACAGAGATGCTGTTTTTAACATCCACACAGAGAAGTCCCAATAAAATCTCTAAAATGGAACTTAAAAAGTAATAAAAACTTTTGAAAAAATAAAAGGTTAATTTTGTTTTTGAATTGATTTCTGTTAAAAAAAAAACAACAGAATCTCGATAAAATGAAGGCAAAATTAAACTTATGAGAAAATACTAAATTAATATTTAAATAACATTATAATATATAAATAATGTTTTGAAAAAAACAGTATCTTAAAAAAAACATGAGTACAAAACAAGATCTTGTGTTAAAAAAGGTCAAAATAACATTTGAAATTTTGTTGTTACAAAATACAATACAAAAAGCAAAATGTAATGAAAAATAGTAATGCAAGCCATAAAAATGTGTTGAATTTTCACCTACACATTATAAGTTACTCTCTAAACCTTTTCTTCATTTAGATTTTTAAAGCTCAATTTTTAAAACATTTTCTACAGATTTCCTTTTTTCCAACTTTTTATTTTCTTTCAAAAATAGTGGAACACAATTCTTTCCATATTGAACAGGAAACCTTTCGATTTTTCTGGAACAAACTGGATTCAGGTATATGAATCCTAACAGATGTAGGAAGAACATCCTTCTGATCATCCAACATATGATGTTTCCCAGATCAGGACAATCGGACCTGCAGACCGGTGAGTCTGAATGATGTCACCGCCTACAGACTGACCTGGATCTGCAGCAGGACGTCCACAGAGTTCAGGCCGTCTGTCACTCTCAGACCAACTTCGTCTTCGCTGGTTTCAGAGTCATCATGGATGTATCTGAAAAGCAGCAGAATGTAGAAGAAGAGACAGCAGCAGTCTGATACCCGGTTGAGGCTGCAGGTTTCCTCAGTCACTAACACCGTCTGATCCAGATGTTCTGCTCAGCTGGAGGCAGACCAGACCAACCCCTGATGAAGGTGACTCACCTGAGCCTCAGTCCTCTCAGGTCAGCCAGCCTGAACTCGCCTCCCTTCAGCAGAACTTCGCCCTGCAGCTTCAACTGGCCGTGACGCGCCATCCTCTGAACCTCCACCCGCAGCTTTGCATCAGGGGTGTCCCGGTCCTGAACCTGGAGGTGCTCCTCTGTCACGAAGGCGCTCCCTCCCTCCTCCACCCGCAGCAGGTTGGTGAAGGCCTGAAAGACGAGATTCAGTTAACCAAAAGATCCACATCAACCAAACTGTGAGGGGGAGCTCTGACCTCAGGAGATAGGTTGTCCACGGGCGTCACAGTGATGTTGAAGACCAGACCGGAGACGGTTCCGCCGTGGTGGTCGCTGACGGAGAACACGAACTGAACGAACAGCGGGTCTGGACCTATGTCCTCCACTGGGGGCATGAAGGCCACTTTCATGTGGTTCACAGCGTGCTGCGGGGACAGAGGGAGGAGGGTTCTGTGATCAGAACCACAACCTGAAGACCTGGTTCTGATTTAGCTCAGCTTCAAAGAACACGAAGACCTGCTATCAGTCCATCCAGGTCTGTAAAATCTATGATCAGAAGAACTTCAGAATAAACAGAATGGGACTTTCTCTTCAGAGCTGGTTCGGATAAACAGACTAATGAAGTTGGACCTTTGTTTGAAGATGTTTCGCTTCCCATCCAGGAAGCTTTTTCAATTCAAAATGTCAGGAATGGTGTTGGGTTCAAGGTTTTATACAGTAGCCCAACAAAGCCTTGTTTTTGTTTTGAAAACATGCAAATTGCAACAGACGAAGGGGTCCACCCATTTGAACCTGAATTGAACCATTCTGGTTCCTTTAGAAACAGTTTCTGATGTGAATTGTGTGAATTTTTGATGGGATCTGCTTACCTGAGAGAAGGAGCTCAGTATCGGCACCATGTGGTCCTTCTTCATAGAGTTGGTGCTGTCTGTGTAGAACAGACGTCCTGCATCCATCAGTCTGAAGGAGAAGAAAGATAAAAGCCAGAATGATTGGACCGGGTCAAAACAAGCTAATGGACCAGTCCTGCAATACAGCGGTTCTTTACCCGTGCTGAAGCGGGCTGAAACAAGACTGCGTGATCGTGTAGGTCAGGTCAGCATCCGGGTTCTCTCTGTCTATAAAGAGCAGCTGAGACCTGGAGATGTGGACGACATCCGTCTCCCTGACGGTCAGAGAGCGGACGGTACCAGGACCCTCCACCGGCAGCTGGTCCTTCATCGGAAACACCTGGACAACCACTGTCTGCAGGGACAGGACAGCAGGTCTCAGAGGAGCTCCACTCCTGTCCCAGAAATCAGGAAGTCCGACTCACGTATGTCTGTGACAGATTGGGCGGCTGGTGGCGGTCAGAGAGCGTGAAGTCAAAGGAGTCCTCAAAGGTCTCGTCTCCTGAGTGCTGGTAGTAGATCTGACCCTGGATCAGGTCTCTCTGCAGGAAACTGTCCACAGGAACAACTGCTGGGACACAAACCAGGGACAATCTGAGAAATCCACAAGATATCTGCAGGAGTGATGAGTTCATCATACCCAGAGTGGCCGTCGCCTCATGGTCACAGTTTGGCTCCTAAATACGTCTCTGACCTTTGATTTCCTCAGACCTCCTACTCATTTGCCTATTATTGGAGATTCTCGGAGCAGAAAGAGCAAATATTCTCCTACTTTATGTGGAAAACACAACATTGAAATCATTTTTGATGACATTTCTAAAGAGAAGTTAGAATAAAATTTTAAAAATCTTACTTCCTCATAATGAAAATCCTAAATTTATTAGTTTGGCCAAATATTTTTGCAGCTCTTTAGATTGTCTCGTTGTGCACTCTTCTTTCTCTTTAGATCGTATAAATCTTTCACCTTTTACTAAAAGTTTCTGTGCAGGCGAACAAGAGTTGTCCTAATTTTTTAAAGCCCTTATGAGAGGTAGGGTGATCTTTTTATGGGGGGTGGCGGTCTAGTGTTTAGGGCATAAAGCTTGGAATCCTGAGGTTGTGAGTTTGAACCCAACTCCCACAGACTGCCACTCTGGGTCTCTGAGTAAGACCCCTAACACCCTATTGCTCAACTCTGCATTTAACCCATCCACTTGGGGATGGGTTAAATGCAGAGGTAGAGAATGTGAGATCACTAAAGTTCAATTATTATTATAATTGATGGTTGATCACTACAAAAAGGGTCCAACTAAACAAGTCCTGCAAACCTAGATCTAAAAAAGGTATTTTTGATCTAGTTCTGAGACTGATGTGCTTTTCAAGATTATATTCTTTTAGATTATTAATTGTCTTTTGAGGATATTCGACTCAAAATAAGTATAATGATCTACTATTATGATAAGACAATTGTACTTGGTATGTGTTCTTGTTTTTAGAGTACTGTATACACCTTGATTTTTAAAGTCTTATCCAAGTGTAATAATCTAACCACACTGATAGTACACATATTTGAATTAATTTTTTTTCAAAAGACTGTCAATGATCTAACAAAATTTTGTTCTTGCTTACTGCAGCAATCTCAAAACAAAAATACTTTCTTTTTTTAGATCTATGGCTGAAAGACTTTGTTAGATGGACATTTTTCTAATCTCACAAAACGGTCCAGGTGATGACCAAAGCAAAGCAAACATTTTAAGACAGAAACTCTTATTCTATACATGTTAATTACATTTTTAGCCAAAATATACAAATATTTTTAGAATATGTATTTAGATAATGAACATTTATTAGTTTTGCTGAATATTTCAGTGTCTCCTTAGCAAAACACTTCCGTTTACAATTCATTAAGACAATAGTGAGAGCCGATTCTTTATTTGTGATGTAGTGTACTGTCAGTAATAAAAGGAAAAACATCATCAGAATTTATTCCAGTTAAGTTTACCCAAATTATTGGTATTCAGCGCAAAATACAGATAAAGAGTTAACCTCAGCACTGGACCACTACAAGGCCAGATAAAGTAGGAGCCCTGAACAAAAGACTCCCCCCCATTTTTCCTCAAGCATCACCCTCTCAGGGTGTTTCCTGCATTTATTAGAATTGTCTGAGTGAAAACTGCACCTCAGTTCCATCTGGCTCTCCTAAAAAGTCTAAAGCTGCAGCTTTCTCCACACAAGCCCGAAATACAAGGTTATCCTAACAAGGTAATAACAGGAACTCACACGGTTCGTCCTATATCAAACAGAAAAACACTGATGTTTTTATTATGAATCAAAATCGTAGCTGTTGGAGAGTAAGTCTTACTGCTTTTCAAGCCGTGATATCAACACATAGATAGAAACTTGGCAGCCCGCATAACACGGGCAGCAGAACCTCAAAGATGCACATTGAAAAATGACTTAAAACAGAAATGAATCTGAAGAATTTAACCCTTAACACAATCATGGTACAAACTAACTGTCAGAGTTCAATACATTTCAAATCAGTTTATATATAGAGCGATTTCCCAACATATTTCATCTGAAGGTACTTTCCATCTAAGGAAAACCAGCTGATTGCATTGACTCATTGAATCTTCTGAAATCCCCAAGCATACATGTAGCGACAGTGGTGAGGAATAACTCCCTTTTAACAGGAAGAAACCTCCTGCAGACCCAAGCTCAGTGTGAGCGGCCATATGCTGAGGCTGAATGGGGTTCAAGGACACAGTGAAGACATACAGAAAGAAGCAGAGATACAAAAGGCAACTGTCAACCAGCTCGACATGCAGCCCTGTGCAGGAAACACACAGCCAGGCAGAGTTCAAAGCCATTTCCCACGTCAGAGGAGGAAAGAGAGCACATACAGGTAGTCACATTAAGAGAAACAGGACTACTCTATAAAAGAGGCCAAGCTCCAGAACTCCCTGTTTTTAAATCAGGGCTTTTCAGGTAGATTTATTTACCGACGTTACAATTATTCATCATATAAACCAAACATCACACTGTAACACAAGCACTAATTAATTGAAAACTGATGCATCAAAAGCATTATGATGTAATGTCATATTAGATAAAACAGTAATAATGTTACATTTGCATACTGGTGAAGAAAATTGGCTGTTTTTGCAGAAGTGTTGATCACAGCTTTACCTGATATGGAAGATCTTATAGCAAAGACTGTCTAACATCCCTGAAGCAAGATTTAGAAAATATCACACATTCTTTGGCTAAAAATGTCTTTAAACTAATCTAAATCCAGGTGCTTTGTCTATAATGTATTTTCCTAATCAATTAATGGACTGTCGGCCATTTTCCTTTTTTCTACTTGAAGGAATTCAATGCAGTTTATTTATATAGCTTTTGAATTGATTCAAAGTTTTCTATCTAAGGAAAATCAGTTGATTGCATCGACTCATTGAGTCTTCAGCAATCTCTCATACCATGCATGCTTGTAGCGACAGTGGAGAGGAAAAACTAAGTTTTAACAGAAAATATCCTCAAGTAGAACCAGGCTCAGGGTGAGCCGCCATCTGCTGACGCCGACTGGGGTTCAAGGAGACAGAAGCAGAGATACAAAAAACAAAAGTAAAAGGGGTCCCCATCCAGGAAATACACAGCCAGGCAGACGAGCTCTGAGCCAACTCCCATGTCAGAGGATGAAGAGAGCACATCCAGCCAGTCAGAGTCAGAGAAACAGGACTACACTGGAAAACAGGCTGTCATGTGACCTTGACCATCATGTGTAAATAGACAGGCCAAATAAAACCTGAGTTTGTGACATTTAGGAGCCAAACAGTAAAAATGCCAGAGTTTTCCTAGTGGACCAAAGTGGTTATTACACCTCCTGGCGGACAATCACATGGCTCCTCAGCCTCACCTGTCTCCTGGGTGGAGCTTTTCCTCACCAGCTGGCCTGCACGTGGGGAGGACACTATCTGGTACAGGATGAAGTCATCGCTGGAGTCCAGGTCGGAGGCCAGCAGCATGTATTCCTGCAGCTGCACCGTCCCGCCTTCCTGCACCTCCACCGCCACGTTGTTGATGAGGAAGGGTGGGGAGTCATCTTTGGGCAGGATATTGATGGGGAACTTGTGTCGGATGCTGTGACGGCCGTCGCTGATGCGGAACACGATGTGGTCACGGGTGGAGTCACTGTCAGAGTGGTGGTAGATGACCACACCCTCCTTCAGGTCCCGCACACGAAACATGAAGGCTTTCCCACCTGTGGGAGGGCAGAGATCAGACCATCAGGGATCCGACTGTGGTTCCAGCTCTGGTTCCACCAGGGAGAAGGAACAATTGGCCTGGTAGCAGGTGTGCAAAGCAGTAGACTGCAGGCTGGCTAACAAGTCCATTAAAGACCAGTTTCTCCGTCTCTGCCCATGGATTTCAAATTATTTCTTTCTGATGTTAAAGACCAGGTCTGGGAGTTCTAGCGGCTGGTTATGACCCATCATCTGGGCAGAACCACCAGTTTACCTACAGGATTAAAAGATCTAAACTCATATTTATTTTTTATGTTGTGAAAAAATGCTTCTGTGGCCTGGAACTGGACGGTTGAGAAGGAGCTATGTTTCATTGAATTCAACTAAGAGAATACATCTGGGTTCTAAAGAGAATGTTCTGGTCAAAATGCTGGGCAAAACAAACATGTTTAAATATAAAATGCAATAAAATTATGAAGGCTTTAATTCATATCTTTTACTAATGTCTTATTGTGAAAAAAAAAAAAAAAAAGAAACGGCTCATTATGCGGGAACTCTGACTCATAATCTAATGCTAGTCCAGAACCAGGTCGAGGGTCAGCAGACCCAACGAAAAGATTTCTATGAGCTGCCTCTCATTTCAACCTGAAAAACTCACAAAAGTAGGTAGAGTTTTGAAAATTTGAAAATTGAAAGAATATTTTAAGTCTTTGGTGCTCAGGCTTTGGCGGCAAACATTAACATTGAAATTTACATTGATCACTTTCATGAGCTTCTAAATGAAGTCACCCGGGCTGAAAATGGTGGTGGAATGGAGATGGTATGAAGATGGATGCCAGCTGTAACAAGGCGCAGGTTCGTATGAACCTCCACGATAAGCAAGCATAAAGTGACAGTGGAGAAAAAAAAACTACCCTTGAAAAGAAATCTCTGGCAGAACCAGGCTAAACATGGGGGCCTTCCTCCAGACCGGCTGAGGATGCAGAATCAGTCTAAGGTTTTACTTTAGAGGGGAAAGACAGCAGCTTAGAGAAGGAGCCAGATGGAGCTTGTCAGGATGGAGGAGAAAAATGATGGAGGAGGTTAAATCAGGGTATTAAGAATCAAAGTCTAAAATGTAATCAAATTCTGATGCTTGTTGGGTTGCAGGCTGAGCTGTGATATCAAAGAATTTTACACTGAACTCTGGATGCTAATTGGTTTACGAGGAGGTGCGGATGGATGCTGATTGGATGATTCACAGGTGGGTGAGCCTCTGATTGCATGAGGGTAAGTGATCCAGTTTATTCAGTTGAACTTCTGTCTAGGCTTCATTAAAAACCGGGTTTGAGAGACACCCACTGGGGGGACAGGAGACGTTTTTTTTTTTTAATCATAGAAGGGCCAAAATATGACATAAAAATACATAAACTTGGATGTCCCAACAAATACATTCACTTTAAAAGAAAAAGGTGTAACATTAATGTATTTATTTGTTAAATACATGATTCAAATGTTGCATTTTTCTAAATGATTATAGCATTAAATTGCTGCGACAGACTGTTGACCTGTCTGGGGTGTACCCCACCTCTCGCCCATGGACTGCCAGAAATAGAAACCAGCCCCACCGTGACCCTGACAAGGACTAAGCAGGAGAAGATGGATGGATATACCATTAAATTATAAAATGAACAACTAAGTAATTCAACATCCCATTAAATAAAAATAAATTTCAAACGATGTATTAAAAAATGAAACAATTTATTAAAGAAAATGTAAATACTTTAATTTATATGTATGAATAAATATAGAGTGAAATCATATGTATCTTTTAGA